CTATTTGCAAGAATAAAGTGCAATTGGAAGTGTAAAGAATTCCAAAATATACATAAGTCTACTACTATTCGTGTCGTTCGTCGTGTACTATTAGTTATTTTGTGATGAAAGTATCTATATTCACATCGTAATTTATTTAACCCGTTGCATATATAAATCATTGCAGTTTTTAACGGGTATAACGGGTCAATAAACAGGCTACATAAATAAAAATGATAAGGTTTTAGTAACTTCAACCACTCAGGATGTCAATAACCTCGTTAAGGCGTATAGGGCGCGGCCACAATTGCTGCCATGAACAGCTGCAGGCGTTTCCAGATAATTTTAGAAAGAACTAGCGGCGCGACAGCAGAGCGTAATAAAATGCCTACCTTTTTTTGCCTATTGTAATGTCGTATGAGCCTGTTGCGTTGGAAATGTTTGTTAGATTACTATGTGAAATAACACTTGTAAAAATGTAACTAAAAACTCAAAAAATTCGACTTTCGACATTCGACGGCGAATTTTTTGAGACTACGATAACTTTTTATCTAATTTCAGTAAATCCAGCTTAATTTAAAGATTATACATAAAAGAGCTCAACGCGTACAGACAAACAGACGAAAATCAGAGTGCGGTACTTTATTTCATAATTTAGAGTGACATAATTGAGCAATAAAGACCATCATCATTCCATATATTCTGCGAAATATGTTGCTCAAATATTAAGATATCCAACCACCACCACTCCTATTCATTCCGTGGGTGTCGTAAGAGCCGACTAAGGGAGCAAACTACGAAGGACAACAGCACAGCAAAGAGAAGGAAAACTTGAAACAAACCCCATAAGATCCCGTCTGGCCAGCGTGGTATAGTAGGCCAAAATCTACTTTCAAAGGAGAGGCCTATGTCCAGCAGCGGACTATTAAAATCTGTGGATGATGATTGATGATGATGACTTAGTCTAAAAATAGTCTAAAGATCTATTTTAAATCACACTGTTCTACACTGTAACATATATTGGTCAAATAAATAAATATTATTATTAAATAAGTAAATATTAATTTATATTAAGTACCTACACCTATTGTTGTTTTCACTTCACATGAATTAAGTTAAAGGCGGAATTATACAGGCCTTAAGCGTCACGTACTGCTGTAACGTATGAACGTTATAGTAGTACGTAACGTTCCTTATTCATAAAATTCCGAAAGTACGTTAAGTTTTAGTAATGATGTCAGTACCAGACAGAAAATTAATACTGGGAATTCCCAGAAACAATCCATTACTATGTCAGATAAAAAAAATGGGCAAATTGCTCTGCATTGCAGTATAATAGGTACAATATTTTGATTTTGACCAGTGTCGTTCTTAGCCATTGCGAGGCCCTGGGCGGGTGGATCACTGGGAGGCTCCGGGCGAGTAAATTAAACACGGGAAATCCCCGAACATAGGTAAATCGTTAATAATACCACCATACGATGCGCTCTCTTGCGTGGTAGTCACCGCAAAGGAGCGTGAGTAGCGTAACGTGAGTTTTATAATGTGGTAAAACGGTTACCCTGCTCGCCACCCTCAAAAGCCGCACCTGATTTTGACGGACAACTTTCATACACGTAGATGGTTCTCCTTATCTCTACACTAGACTTGCAACGAATATTCGGTTACTATTCGGTATTCGGCCTATTCGGCTGCTTTTATTATATTCGGCCGAATACCGAATATCTACATATTATTCGGCCGAATACCGAATACTTAAATAATATATTTTGTCATTGAGAAATAATTGGTAAAATGAAAAATTAAAATCGATTGATTACATATATATTCATATTTTCATTTCTGTTATAATCATTTAAGTAGTCATTGGTGCATAAAACAGGTACATAATCATCTTCTGAATTGGAAAAAATGGAGGATTCTATGTATTTGAATTATTGTGGTAATCAAAATTTAGAAGGGTAAGGTTCTCATTTCTGTTACAATCATTTATTAAGTAGTCATTGGTACATAAAACAGGTACATAATTTAATTCACGTCTGTACAAGTTTTTGGCGCTAAAATCCAGCCGAATACTTTTGCCTAATATTCGGCTATTCGGTCAGGGGCCTCGCCGAATATTCGGTATTCGGTATACTGCCGAATATACTATTCGTTGCAAGTCTACTCTACACTACTTAGTTTTGTTTTCAATGCTTGCAGCGACATCTACATTCTGATTTTTAATAAGATAGACTACAATGACATTTGGAGGGTTGCCGCGTTATCATTTTGTAAAAATAGTGTGGGATCCAGAATGATCAAAATTAGTTAATGTATTAGTTTGAATTTGCATTAAATAGTAGAGTGAATAGATAGGATTTATAATTCTAGGGTCAATTTTAGAATAGAAACTTAAGACAAGTACAAAACTGTTGTTGAAGACAAGAGTGTCGTTGAGTTGTACATAGGTAAGTTATTGGTCAAAAGGTTGCTTCAGGGGCGGTAAATAAAGTGGCGCAAGGAGGCGCGGGAGTTAGGTCGGAATCCTGAGACTCGAGAAGTCGAAGACCAGAAATCCCAACTAAACCAAGTCCTTACCTTCCGCCTGACGCAGGTGTTGCGACGCAGTGCCATGCCCTCACTGCAGTCATCGGATCGGATCCATCGGATCGGATCTCTCGCTACCGGCCGTAATTCGCTCCATGCCCGGTAGCGACAGTGTTATTACCGCGGTCGCAACCTTCTGCGAGGAGGTAATCTCGCAGGTCAATGGGGGTCCAGAAGGCGATAACTACCTGGACCCCTCCTAAACTGGAAGCGCAAAGAGGTCGGTTCGAGTCCGACACACCGCCCCGCCGAACGAGAGCCCCGGCGGGGTGACGGTCCGAGGGGATTTCCACACGTAAAAAAAAAAAAAAACGGTGATCACCGGTAAAGGTTGCTTCTTAGATCACCTGTGTCTGATCCACAATAAGCCAACGCCTGAGTGCCACCACTATGATGGCCGGACCGTGGACATTTCGCTCCACATGCTGGCAGAATACCAAGTGTGGGTTGAGCAGAGGTGTGACCTCGTGGCGGCGATCGGAATTTGAATTCTCTCACTTGGTAACATAATTGCCGCTATGGTACATAGCAAAAGTGCGTGGAACGCCACCGCCTCCTTCGGCGAACAAGTAATGCTTGCAAAGGAGATGGTGGAGAGGATTAGATCTCTCCTAGCCCCCTAGGCCCTGGAACGGGCCAGGTACCGCAGACGACTCAGGCGCCGAAGATCCCAAAACGATCTCCATCCTCCATAAGCGAAGGCCTGGATCTGTCACCCTAGCAGAAGCAGGCCGGGGTGGTAGTGAGACGAGGGGGTCATCTACACACCGTACATGGCCCGAGGTACGTCGGGGTACCAGGGATTTCCTTTCTAGAGTACACCAGGTTCCCCGGCAACTGGTACCCGAGATGGCGTACGGGTTTTGGTCGGTTCCGGTTCCGACCAATGAGTGGTATCCGATGCTCCCCCACAGGAAAAAACTAAAAAAGGGCATTCAATAAAATCAGTGAAACAATAATAATAGTAATTTAGTTTTAATTAGTAATCCATTTATTTTCAACTTTAATTTTAGTTGAAGAAAATATGACGACTTTACAATTTACTGTAAGAGCTTATTTATTTAAAAAAAATTAAGGTAATACAATAATTTTATTTAGTGCAATATAACTATCAATAGTGCAAATCGAATAAGTCAATAAATCGACTTAGTTGACCCATATTAGAACTAGTGGTGTAACGATTCGACTTTTGTAACCGGTTTGAACATGAACTGAGTTGATTCGGTTAGCCCGTGGTTAAAACCGGTTCAACCGTATCATAAAATCACGCTGCACTTCGCGTCGTACTATCGCGCTAGCGGCTCCTGCTTTATCGATCAAAACTAATTTTTCTACCAACTGATTCTGAACCGAGTCGATGCGTCACGGCAGTGAATTATATTTATCAATTTACCTACAAGCATAAGCTATATCATTACGTTCCTCAAAAAATCGATCCGATCGATTTTTCCTTAATTACTTACACCATCACCTACAATTTCTGACTATTTCATATACTCCTAAGAATTTACAGTTTTTATAACGGTTTGACCCTGGTCTACATATCGAGAAAGGCTATATAACATCACGCTACGACCAATAAGTGCCGAGTTTCGATAAAAAACGTTGCAAAAATTGAGAAATTTAGTTTTCTTGAGAGAGTCAGAAGTGCATAATTACAATTTGTTTTTAAAACTATAAGAAAGTAGACATTTGTTGTCTAAATTCACTTGTTTTAACAAAAAAGTAAGAAAAATATTTAATAAAACAGTTCCCAATCTTTAATGTCTAAGATTTTGAGAGACAACCGTCTGTAAAGTCTTCTGGGATCAAGGCGGAAGTTACACTCCATCATTTGCATTGTTGCCGGCAATTGAAAAAAGGCGCTTATAATAAAAAAATAAGTATTTAAAAAAAATCAACGGTTAATTCTATGTGTGCAGAAGGAATATGACGAAGAACAATCAAATATTAAAAGAAATGAATATTTACCCTGCTCCTCTACTGTGCATTCTCCCGGTTAAGTACGTGTCTGGTGTTTATCAAAACAAAAAAATCAAAGGTCTATTTCAAAGATAAAATATTTATTCACTGAATTGATTCAGTGCACATTTAAAATTACATCTAACAGTTTTGCATGTTTTACGTTAACGTGAAACATGCAAAATGCAGATCGCATTACAAAAGAAAATAGATTAATTAGAATTATTATGTTTGGACAAATAATTGATTTAGAAACAGTAGAAATATTAGGTGACAGATACTGGTAACATTGTATTTAATTTATCTATGCCACTACTTTCCGATTTCGAATTCCGGTTCCGACGAGACGTCAACGCTAAATTTATCCAATTTTTAGTAATTCCCACTTATTTTTCATCTAAATACTACTCTGTTCCAAAATTTTCATATTCTAATCAATTCAATTTTTTTGCCATACATTAAAAACCAACATGCCACGCGGTAAGTAAATCGTTTACGTGTTATGTTTTTCTCAATGTCGTACAATGTTATGAGAATGTGCTTTCTCCAGGAATTTACCTAGATTTGTCATTGGCCTGTGAATTTAATGGCAACAGCGAGTCTTAGAAATCGTTTAGTTGAAAACTATATCTAATAGGTTTGTTCCGTAGCATTATTAATATCTCATAACCTTGTTGATTTATGTTTGTTTTATGATTTTAGGAAAGTTCACAAATCACAAGGGCCGAAATCGCAAATTTACTAGTCCCGAGGAACTAGAGGAACAGCGAAAACAAGAAGAATTAAAACAAAAGTGAGTAATGGACATATTAAAAAAAAATAGATTCTTTGTTGCAACAAACTAGATATAATATTTTGACGCCAAGACTGCTTAGTTGTATGTAAATTAACACACAATAAAAAAAACACAGTCATTACATTAACTGTGTCAGAAGAAGACAGAGAGCACATCATACTATTTATTTTATGTTTTATTGTTAAATATGTAAACACAAAAACAACAGAATGAAATTATGAAGGTGCTATCGATGTGATATATTACGAAAGAAAGAATACACATGTCTGTTTATGATATTTTTATTTCCTGGGAACACACTTACATCTAAGATAAAGGTTTGGACTAGTTTAGACGTTAGGGATCATAGATTATTATAATCACCCAGTTTATGAGTACATTATAGCTATTTCTATATGTTAGAATCTGGTGTTGATATTGGTATCAATAAATTATTATTAAAAGAAGTAAAATTTGTATGTAAGCAAATTCTTCTTATGCTTGAATTTATGAGAAAAAAATTGAGTGCCGAATGTGTTGTATTTTTAGAGTAATTGACTTTGGTAACATGTTGACATCTTGCATTTTATCATGTTTATTTTGATAAAACCACTTGTCAAAATAATGATTCACATGTTTTTGTAAACATTGAAATTTTGGTATCTGGATATGAACCTATACTCATTAACCAAAACATTCATTAAGTGAAATTGCAATTCATACACATAGTAAAAACTTTTTAAATTGTGATATGTTGAGATTTGACCAGTTAAGCTCAACTAAGTTTTGAATCCTAAATGTTGGTGAAGAAGTTGATAATTCTGTGAATAATTGCATAACTTGATGTTTAATTTGATAACTCATTGGTGAATGATTTGACAGTCTATTATTACAAAAATTATGGAGAATTTATTCATTGTTATCACTTAAAATACAGCATATATGATATGCATAAAAACAACTAAAACACAGACATTAAGATAATCTATCAGACAAGGACAAGCACAAGAGAAGCCACCCTGACAAATTGCAATTTTAGACATAATGTTAAAATTGAAATTGTCAGGGTGGCAATTTTAGGTCACTATTCACTATAATTACCAGTTACTTAGATTCACTTATGCATTTATAGAGTGAAGCTTTACATTGTTTAGATTACTTGTTACGCAAATGTATGATGTATTGTTTTCTGTGTTTAGGCTGTGAGTAGCAATAACTTGTTATTAAAGCATCTTTCTGAAAACAATTGCTGTGTATTTTTCAAAATGTTCAGTAATAATTGGGACAAATTGTGAACAAACATGCTGCATAATTTTCAAAATTAAGGTATCCTATTTGGAATAAAACTGTATTGCATGCATTTGTCTCTTGACTTGCGGGTGACCATGAGCAGTGGTAATCATGTTTGTGCATTTGCTCTATGTATTCTTTAAATTATGTGTGTGATGACGGATTAAGAATATGAAGTTCCACCACCCATAGTCATCTCGTGGGTGTCGTAACAGCGGTCTAAGGGAGCCTACTAGGATAATGGCACTGCAAGGAGTAGAAAACTTTACACAAACCTTATATCAACACGTCTGGGCAGAGTGATATAGAAGGCCAAACCCTCCTTCCTAAGGAGAGGCATACGTATAGCAGTGGACTGTTAAAAGCTGTCATTGATGTGATTATTAAAAAGTCCAGCAAGTATTACAGTAGTTGCATATACTTTTTTCTTATTTTAATTGGACATCAAATCTTAATAACATAAGGTATCAACTGAGAATGCCAAATAATAGCAGTTTATAAAACACTAGTGTAATGTATTACTTCTTTAAAAATAAATAAAATTACTATCGGATGATTTAATTACAAGACTATCTGAGTTTGCTTGCCAAATTTCTTCTCACAAGAAATTGACAGTTCTAGATTTACAATGACAGATAGCTATACACCTCTAATATATTATGTAGTATATATTTTTAAACATAGCTTGTTTTACTTACAACTAATTTGTTGTACTTGCAACCAAACAACTTGTAATGGCTGATGAATGAATGAATCAACAGAAGAGAATAGATTTTGCACTATGACAAACCTGTTATACAATTAAATCCAAATGAACAATTCTAATATGTATTGTGAAAGTAAAAATTAAATCAAACTATTATTGTTGTAAAATTGTGTTGATCAATAATTTTTACTCGACAATATTTAGTTAGAAAGAGACAACCTAAATTATTTCATTGATTATATGAAATGAAATTTATCTGTGATTTTAAGCTGTGTCTATAAATACAAAGAAGCACAGACTACACAGAGTAAGTTAATAAAAAAAAATGGAATGTTTGCAATATTTGAATAGCAAGGTTTATGTCTCGCATCAAATTTGCTTCTGCATCATAAATTTTTAAAGTTAATGTTTTAAGTTAAGTGGTGACCATAAGCAAATATGAAACTACATAGTTAGTTATAAAAGAAAACAAGTATTTTGAATTACTTGAATAAGATTATCTCTTATTGAATTAACTATTGCAAATTTGTAAATATTTACATTAATTTCATATTTTTCCAGGTGGAGAAAAGAGCATGGTCAAGAAGAATCAAGTGAGTCTGAATCAGAACAAGAAAAGTCTGGCTCTGGTAGCAGTGAAGATAGTGACTCTGATGATGATGTAAGGCTTGTTATGTTGAATTTGATATGAGTCATTATAATTTAAGTCATGTTAAAAAACTGTATTGCGATTAAGCTTGGCTGTCGTTAACTTTAGTGCTGCATGAGGCACTGTTGTCTTTACAATAATTAGTTGACTGCACGGATGGCGTGGTGGTTTAAGCAGTCACCTCGCCGCTTTCTACTGCGCTACATATTGTGGGTTTGATTCCTATGTGGGACAATAGTTTCTGTGATCCACGAAATATTGTTCCGAGTCTGGGTGTTCTTTGTGTCCATTTAATAAGGGTTTGTAAAGACCCCTGCTACACAGAATATATTTTTAGTGCGGGCGTTGTTATTTAAAAAGAATAGATTTCTGTAACCTTGCAAAGCAGCAGTTAAATACATTGTAACCTCCTCAGCAGCTGGATGTGACGGATTGCTTGGTGTTCATTGACGAACCAATATATTCATAGCAATGCATGTTTGTTATTTATTGTATTTGTCTATCAAGTTAGTAAGACAATACGGTAAACATATTTCTCGACTCTAATTAAAGAAATCATGCCTTTCATAGGTTACCACCCTACCCTCCCCTAAGAAATGCTTAGACACATTTAAGCAAAGTTTTTTGGACAGTGATGTTCTGCAGTGTTAGTAAGAAGTGTAAAACTAGGAATATAATATAAGATGATTCATGTTTACGTATTATTCATTATGTGTAAGACTAGCGATCCGTCCCAGTTTCGCTCGGGTGCAATATAGATACTACTACCTAATGTGGTGTCAGTGTAGAATTATTAATTATACCAATATTATGATCAGACTGTAGTACAGGACATCTTTATATGCAATATAAAAAGCGACTTCATTTTATACTATGGAAAGATGTTACGTGTGAATCATACAAAAATCAACATATTTCAATTTCGGCTTGTTGACTATGTATACATATGTATATTGCTCATGACAAGACTCTAGTCTATGCACACACATACACAGATAGATTGCATAAGAATACTGCCACGAAATAGAAGCTTCCAGGCATATGAGAATTAAATGGTCTGCTTTGACATAGTGTGTATATAGGTGTACTAGTATTAGAGATGTGACGGTCTGCAATATTTTTTCAACCGAATTGAATCGGTTTGAAAATTCGTGCGAATCGGTTCCAAACTGTTGAAATTGCAGTGAACCGCGGTTTGAACCGTATGATAAGTTGACCGGCGAATATAACATACGAAAGTGATGTGCAACATGATTCAATGGAATGGATTAAACCATCAACGGTTGGCAACCAAGTTTATACACAAGCGTTAACAAACTATTCAGTCAAATAACACGATTATTACGCCTTCTTTTTTCTCATTTCCCGGATATAAGAAGTTTATTTCGACAACTCGAGGAATGATTCCTGTGGCCATACAAATGGTCAAACAATGATTATGGTAGATGCTGTGGACACATATTATTTTTGTATGTACTAGATTAAGACATTATGTATATTAGTTCTTAAGACGCTATTGTACAATACATTCTTTGTGTTCCTTAAAATAAATAAATAAATTACAAAAACACTCGGACTCAAACCTGAGTGGCGTAGTGGCGAGACGACCACTTTAAACAATTGCTTCACCCATGCAAGTTTCGAAGAGATCAATATACATTTCCTAGATACAGAATACTCACAATGTTCTCTCCATTTCAGAAACCAACAAAGGCGAAGGGTGTGTCAGGACTAATTGAAGTAGAAAATCCTAACCGTGTTGTAAAGAAAAACAAGAAACTAAATAATTTGGATAATTTAGGGGAAGGGGAGAAGCCTCAGTTATCTAGGTAATTAACCAAGTAAATATATATTTATTTTTTTATAGTATCCACCTCGTGGACCGTATACCAAACGTCGAAATTCGACGCCGCACCAAAGACAAGAATTTCCTGTTCTTTGGTGCGGCGTCAAATTTCGATGTTACGACGTCGACGAATGGGTATGGATTGCGAGGCTTAAGTGGAGATGGACGTGGCACTTGGCCAGATGGGACGACGGCCGATGGACTAAGGCAGTTACCAAATGGTGGCCTACAGATATGCGGCGGCTTCGAGGCAGACCGCCTGCTCAATGGTCAGACAACATTGATAGGTGGTAGGAGAGCAACGGATCCGGCTGGCACAAAACCGCTAGGAGTGGCGTGATAGAGAAGAGACCTTTATCCAGCAGTGGAGGCAAAAGGCTGCTTAGATAGATAGTTATTACTACTATTTAACCTCTGCCTAAAAACACAACCATTAATTTGTGAAACAAACATTGTTGTGCTGGGTGCAAACATTCTGGCGTGGGAATTATAATCTTATCTACTTTAGGACCATCATTAGTGCAAATAGACTGAAGTGCTAATGTTGATGCTGAATTATTAGTAATATTAGTGAGATCCCTATGTGACTTGAATGAAGAAGGGGCCAAATTTGTTAATACTTGAGATATATCCTATTTACTTAAATGAGAATAGAGATAAAGCAATTTACAAGATAATATTATTAAATTATTTTATTAAATACATATTTAACGAAATCAACGGTTTCTCGAAATCAGCGATGAGTACAAAGCCAGGTCTGATATACTGGGCTTTGTACTCGTTACATCCTGTATACTTATCAGAACTTATAAAATTCAGGCGTGAAAGGGAAGAAATAGAAAGGCAGCGAGCGGCCGCCGCGTACCAAAAGCTGCACGCGGAAGGCAAAACTGATCAAGCACGGGCTGACCTCGCACGTCTCGCTATCATCCGGCAACAACGGGAGGAGGCCGCGAAGCGCAGGGAAGCTGAGAAAAAAGCTAAGGATGATGTGCCCAAGAAAAGGTAAAATAAATATCGCAACAATTTTTTAAGGATTTTTATTTGTTGATGGCAAATATATGGACATTCTAAATAACCCTGCTTGCTAATATTCTAAATGCCTGATAAGCATTTAGGGTTACACACATACCCACCCTCACACACAGATACACATACACACTCACTGACAAACAAGCAGACACGAATGTTGCTGGACAAATCAAACCCAATGTCAGGCCAAACTAGTTGTTTAAGCCAAACCGGTTTATTGACTAGATTTTCTAAGCTACACTAGTATATCTTGACATGCATAATGTAGAATACATCGGTTTGGCCTAGAACAAATTTAGTTTGGCACGAAATCAGGTTTGACTTTTGTCAAGCTATTGTGTTTTGGGTAAATTTCCTACGAAAATCTTCTGGATATCTAAAATTACTTCAAGTAGCGGTACGCTATGATGACTGTTTTAACACATTTAAGTACAGCAATTTGATGGAGGTCAATGTAGGTATTAATTCAATACGAAACTTGACGAATACAATAAAGTATAACAATATGCTTCTTCAACGTAGTTATTAATTAATACGAAACTTGATGAGTGGACAGACGTCAAAACAGCCATCATAGCGTGCTGCTACTTTAGTTTCAGATATCCAAAGATTGTTCATAGCCATATAGCCACCAAATCCAATAGCCAAGTCAAATAGATAAATCGGTCCCACAAAACTCACAGATACAAATGGCACTCGACAAACCGAAGTAAGCGAATGACACGAAAAGCACCCGACATAAGGGTCACCGAGAAATAGAAAGAGATAAAAGATAGCTGTCGTTGTTGCCCGGTTGCACTTCTTTGAAGACGCCGGCGCATAGCCGCTGTTTCTTTCCCTTGCATGGGAAGTAACGCACGCCATGTCTCTCGCACTCATGGATCGGCGAATGGTGCTGCACTATGTGAGCGAGACGGCAAATAACTACTCTCTCATTCATATAGAACTACCTTTTACTATTTCAGGAGATTTTGGCTTACTAATCCATACGAAAATATTTTTCAATGAGACTTATTGGATTGTTTATTTATGGATGTAAAAATTTGATAGGAATATTAATCTATTGTTAAAAGAAAGGTAGTCTATCTAATTGAGGTATTTTATTCATAAAATAAAATCAATTTAATGTTTAGAATGTTTTACTTATTTTCTGTTGCACTTTTAAGGATAACCCTATCTATTCATTTGTAAGTATCTACTGTCTAACTCTAAACGCTTAATACTAATGAATAAACGTATTTCTTACACATCCGCGATTTCCACACATTTTAAATAATATCAAATATTTTTAAGCCTTACCATAATTACCTACCCGAATCCCGGGAATATGGTCATATCCATACTAGTGATATCTATCATAACACACACTTTCTTAACTAATGCATATGCATGTAAGCACTAATGAATGCGGGTTCACTTTTGTTTACTTATTCTACCTGTTATATTGTGTACTTCGTAATTGGCGTAATACTCAGTAAATTTTCTACACGTACTTACTGTGAAGGACCTAAATAAATAAAATAAAATTAATTTCAATTGTGTTGTTGAGCTGATAGTAATATAAGTATGTATGTTCTGTGTGTAACTTATTATTCTGTATTTACAGGTAGACAACAGAGCTGGTATTTCGCTGTATGCATGCTAATAATCTCGGGCTAGGTGGCTTTTTGAATCACACTCCCTATTTAAATGTTAAATTTTTTATCCCGTACAAATTTTTGCATATGGAATTGCTCTTTCACAATGCATAATATTTTTTTTTCGTGGAGCTTGCCTAGCTACGACTCATCTTTAAATATGTGAAATTAATGTTTCTTTTCTTGACAAACCAGAAATTTACTGGTTACAATAAGTTTGTATCAAGGGTCATGAAGATGCAAAGTTAATTCAATATTCACACGAGTGTAATCTGTGTGGTTGTTGTGTTTATAGTAATATTTAAGTAAATTATATGTTATATTTTACGTAAACTGATGTATGAAAAGTACTTATAGATGTCTACATTGTTACTGAAAGACTGGTATATTTACTGGTAAAGAACTATTATGTGTAGTAAACGAAAAGTGTATACTTAGTTCTTCCTAGTGACTAATGTAGACATTTATTGACACACAAACATACAAACCTTTGCGCATAACAATAACATATTTATGATTGCAATTCTACCATATTTTCATTGAATTAAATAATATTTTCTCATTATGAATGTAAAATAAATTTAGAAATGATTTCCCAATGAAATGTCTTCATATTAAATAATCAATAATTATGTACATTGAAATATATAACTAACGTCAAAATGATATTATGTAATAACGAAGGGTATGTCCATAACATAGGTTTATTTTTAATTCCACCGGAACAGTTGCTGTATGAAGTTTTCGTTAAAGACAACATAGTAGTAAATTAAATAAAAATTGCAATAACGTAAACAATGACAACTTCATATAGTAACGTACAATTTGCTTAGGACTAATTGTTAGATAGTCTCACTAGACAATTTTTATAAAGCAAATAAATGTGTATCTATATAATTAAAATTGAAAAGAATTTAATACTGTTTTTTTTTATCATTTCAAATCCCTATGTATGTCCCTACATACATGTGCATATAAGTTAATATATTAAAGAAGTTAAATAGCATGTTCCCCCTCAGTATATGTGTTCTGTGTGTTCACCTCAAACAAAGGTACCTATGTACAGTAAAGGTTTGTATATGTTGTATTTGCTAGTGTACTTTGAAGGAAAAAAGTAACGTTCTTCAGGTGTAATTTAATCCCTGTGGTAAGTGCTGTGGATTCCTCTATAAACACTAGTATGTATTTCCTCATCTCTATCAGGGTTCCAGTTTGTGATGGCTACTAATATAAGCATTACAAGATAATCAAAGTTAAGTTGTAAAGTTCATAGTTAAAATATTATTAGAAATAGACATGCCTGGCAGTCGAATTTCGTCCGTTTTAAACGTCTTGTTTTATTGACTGGACATCTATAGTTTCATACAGTCTTAACTATTTACTTAATTTTCCCTCCGTCCTAAGTGGTTAGAAGGTTAGGTAGTTTTTAAGATCACAGCTTTTTTTTATGGTTTAAAATTTTAGCTTTCTGCAATTCTACATTTATACAGATATTCCAAATACGATACAGATACTTTGTGCGCAGTATTTCTTTAAAAAGGGGTAGAAAGAATTTTCGAGACGTATAGATATATTGTACTACTAGCTGAGACCCGCGGTGTTACCCGCGTTTGTTGTTATAACCGCGGGCAACGCCGCGGGGCGAAGCTAGTCTAAAAAATAGCCCAAGTTACTCCTTATGTCATCAGCTATCTGGCAGTGAAAGTCCCGTCGAAATCGGTCCAGCCGTTCCAGAGATTACCCGGAAGAAACAGACACAAAAAATGTAAAACATGTTATTTTGGCATATTTACCGTGTAAACATACATAATATGCATTTAGTAAAAAGCGGTTATTTTAATATTACAAACAGACACTCCAATTTTATTTATTTGTATAGAATCTATACAAATAAATAAAATTCTATACTATAGATTTAGATTCACATTTATAAATATGTGCCTACTTATTTGATGATTATGCAGTAGCCTTTATCAAACTATTAGGTGATTGCCAGTCAATGTGTGCTATGCAAAGTATATGCCAATTGGCTTTCTGCCACTTTAATATCTATATAATTTAAAATGAATAACAAGACCAGGTAATCGGACCAATAGATTACGTAACGCTCACGTCATAAGTGGTAAAATAATAATTAACCCGATAAATCTATTAGAATCAAGCCGGACTTTGATAATGTTCAAGTAGTAGACGGATAGAGTGGATGGTTACTTTAAAGACTCATCTACACCTTAACCCTCGTGTTCAGTCTAAGGTTATCTATAATAATTTGGCTGAACCGGGGAAGTAACAATCTTAGTGAAATTCTCGGGGATGTTCCTTCCCCTTTTGCCGATGTTTGTCGATTTCATTTTTCTCTTTAATGCATATTCAACGATTACTCCGTCAATTGTGGATCGATTTTCAAAATTCTTTTTTATTAGTAATAGTATAGTCTGAGGTGGCCTCATTGTCACGAATTCAGGATCTGATGAGGGGATCTCAAGGAAATCGAGGGCAACCCTCAAATTTTATGGGAACGTATTATGTGTTATATATATTCTCTAAAGCTATCATCCGTGTGGTGACGGATTAAGAATACAGAGTTTCATCACCCCTATTCATCCCGTGGGCGTCGTAAGAGGCGACTAAGGGAGCAAACTACGCAGAACAACAGCACTGCAGAGAGAAGGAAAACTTGACACAAACCCTATACCAACCCGTCTGGCCAGCGTGGTATAGTAGGCCAAAACCTCCTTTCTAAGGAGAGGCTTATGTCCAGCAGTGGACTATTAAAGGCTGTTGATGATGAAAGCTATTTTAGTATTTGCGTCTATTAGTCATTATGTTGTGTTGATGAGCTGGTGATGGAAGGTACAACTCCTTAACGGTTAGGAGTTGGAGGATACTTCTTTAAGTACCATAATATATGAATGTTTAAACTTAGTTGTATTCATTCAACTCATTCAGGTGAGCAGATCATGGAAGGTTAGGAGTTAGATGCTACTACGAGTATAAGATGTCGACATAGTAACCTGTAATGTAGGTATAGGATAGAAAAGATATGCAAAGCTGAAGGTTGGATCAGCAACCTGCACTATACATACTCAGCTTGCCTTAGTGTTCTAATTCAAATATTTACAATTTGTCTTAATCGTTGCTTTTTTTAGCTGTGTTTCAAAGAGCAACACCATCATTACGCCATCTTTACGCGACTTAGCGCAACATAAACATTGCCTTTGGGAATTTTAGGGTAGTGCCCTGGAGTTTGTACAACGTAATCGTCCAACTGAGGATTAGCAGTAGCATTCTCTGTTTAACATCCCCGTAGCTTTTAGTTGCCTGATAAATCTATCACACATCAAGTTACGGGGATGTTGAACGGGATTAGTTGCCATAGAGTTATTTTTCCGTGTGGAAATTCCCTCAGGCCGTCACCCCACCGGGGATCACGGAAGGGTGGTGTGTCGGAATCGGACCGACGAAAACCACAGGTTGTGCCACTCTGCGACGATAATAGAAGGGGTTCGGGAACTGCCGTTATTAAGACATCCGGACCCCTCCTAGCACCTGCCGCAACGGTGCGGGCACCATCTTCGGGTACGTTCTCTATTTTGGCGACGTCCGGCACACGCGTCGTTAGCGGCCAATTGGGTCCGAGTGGAGTTCATCCTCCCGGGCCCTCTCCGCCGCCTCCTTCTGCGAGATGACGTCTTCGCAGAAGGATGCGACCGCGGTAAAACAACTATTACTACCGGCCATGGAGCGTATGACGACCGGCAGCGAGAGATCTCCCCCGATGACTGCAATGCGAACCCGGCGCTGCGGCGTCCAAGCTGTTCAAATTGCCAGCTTGTGCCGTGCCGAGTCCTCACCGCAATCCTAGTAGTGACGGGCGGGACTCAATTCCCTCCTGGCCCTGGGTCCCGTACTGCCGCCCTGCCCACTCGACGATGACCGGCTGGAGCGCCTCTAGGGCGGCAAAGCCAGCACGTGGAGCCTCCAGCCGGGATGATCCACGAGCCATTGTGGCTCGACGAGCGGCCTCACGCAACTCACGTAACCGCGTATGGCTCTGACCGGCAATATCCTCTGAGGGCGCCAGAGGCCTATTCTGGGCGGTCAGAGCCGCCGCCCACACCGGTGCACCATACAGTGGACGGACAACCCCCGTATACAGTCTGTCTTGCCCTCGGCTCAGCCGCAGGAGCAGACGCCGACACCGCCGCTGCATATGTCACGCGACCGCCTGCAACGGGGAGCGAAGTCGGCGCTGACGTGACTTACGCCTATCGCCTGCAAGCGGCGGCCGAACAATACAGGCCTTGGACAGATTCGCCTCCAGGCCGGCGAGACGCCCGTTAATTATACGCCACAATGCGTCGGTAAGTTGGCGCAGGTTGGCATCCGGGATGTAAACGAGAATAGGAGTAGGGGCACGCCACGACGAAGCCGGCCGTTCTCGCTCAGAGCTATCCACTCGAAATTGGGTGATCTGAGAGCTGAACTCAGCGGTCGTTAGCCGCTTGAAGACGCGTCACGTCTCCAATACGGGTCTCCATGACCCCAGCAACAGCGGAAGAGGAGTCCTTAAGGGCCCTCACAAAAGTACCCATAAGGTTACTGGACTTGGTGTCCACCTTGTGGATGACAGCCACCGGCGCTATCGCTCTCTCCTGAAACCCCCTACCATTGGCTCCTCAACTTTCAGCAGGAGATCTGCAATCCTCTTCTGCTACGTTTTCGCCATCCGCCCTGACTCGTCTATAGGCTTCTGCCTTGACTGACTTCTGGGAGCCGTGCTGTGATAGACGTCGTTAGACGAGAAGTCATCCGCTCTTCCACTTTTCTCCTTTCCGTTCTTCTCCTTCCGTCCTTCCTTTCTGGTTTCTTTATTATTTATTATTATTTTGTTAGATTACAAAATTGATCGCACGAGTGGGGAAGAAATAAAGGTCGACCCGGACCGACACAGGCGCGTCATCATCTATAGA